TATACCTCATGTGTGAATGTTTCAAATACTCCTCTTTCCGCCTCAAACTAAACTGAACTTTCCTAAACCGATTAACTAAGCTTAATGGTTGCACTGCGATGAGAGGTTCATATGGAGCTAACAAAGGGGCCCCAATAAGGAGGTGTCCTGACTATTTCCTCAGAACCTCTGATTATTGCGATGTCGGGCGAATTCTCTGAAACTTCTCTGAATTTCCCTCGAAGCTCCAACAACTCGACACACAAGTAGACCACACCCGCGTATGAGGTTCTACAGAAACTTCTGGAACTTACTGAATCCATCAGGGAAACCTGATCGAGTTTACATGTGGGGGGGTTTGGTCAAAACTTTTCCAATCAGCCTCAGTGGCTGTCAAAAGTGAATTATCGCAACTAATTCTGTATAACCAGTCCTTCTGCATAAAAATTTTCGCTGTAACAATCACTTTGGGTCGATCCGCTCCTAACAACAGATCTACAGGTCGAGGTTCAAGAAGATTTACATCTGTCACGCGAAGGTCGGGGATTTCCGTCTTAAAATCTAAATTTACCACAAATGACGGAAGAATTCCTGAAATAGTACACTTGTTTCCAATAACAGAGATGTGTCGAATGGACTGCTAATTCTTACACGGCGAGCTTTATTAGCAGTAGACGAGAGCGAACAACTAGCTCCTGATACAACAGCATTAGTCGGGGATATGGGAAGCTTCAAACGATTTTGCAGTCGCTCTGAAGTAAAAGAGGACTCTGATTCAGGATCTATCAGCGCCCTAGCAGGATACGGAACACCTTGCTGAACGATATTCACCATTGCGGTACCCAAAATTACACAGGTACACAGTACAGCAAAAGTTTTAAAAAGACTGTGATTTCATGATGGCGTCTATAGAGACCTCTAAAGAAGAAATAGATGCTGTCGATCAAAAATATAATGAATCTTTTCGATTTTACTTGCTATGCCAGGCTGCAATTAATAGGAAGTAAGATCAATTAAAAAGGACTCGTTCTACTTATATTAAATCAAGTGTTAGCGGTTCAATAGTCTCATTTTAGAAACCTCGGGTGCGATTCCAGAATAATCGCTCACAATCGCCTGTTTCACGTATCGAAAGAACACGTTCGCACACCTTTTACACGAACAAGAACTGATTTCCGTTCCACTAAAATCCATGAGAACGAAAAATTATACGAACATCAAAGCGTTTCAGTGTAATTTTGCGTTCCACTATATTTTTTATTTAGCACGCAAGCAAAAACATAAATGTCAAAATCAGTCACTTGTTGTTTCGACATCAATATTGCTATGATAGGAAATGGAAACAAAAAGGTGAGTAAAAATAAAAAATCGAATTATAATATGTCAATAACAAATACAATTTGTATTTCTTCAATTCCAGCAGGAAAAAAGGAACAACTCTTGATTATAGATAGGGCACTAGTTCGCCAGAGAAGTGCCAATACTTGGAAGCAGCAGGCTTCTCCACATCATCCATAAAATATATTAAAACAGAAAAATTAATTTTTTTAAACACAAATAAATTGAACACAATCTCTGGAAAACTCGAAATATTTTCTTCTTGTTTGTTTATTCACAATTTGTTTCTTTACAACTGAACTGTCAGTTAGCAACACTGAGTCACGTTAGGCTATGCGAAAGAACGAACGATTGTTAGTGGAACGCGTTCTGATACGAAATTGAGTGACGAACTTTCGTTTGCACAAATTTTCTTTCGATATCGTGGAACAGGCTGTAAGAGAAAAAAAAAGAACTAAAGCACCATTTACTATAAATTTAACCAAAAATAAAATTCGACTTAGCACAATATACGAAAAATTAACAAACAACATTAATCAAAAAGCTCTAAATTTTCAAAAAGTCTTAATTTCCCAAATGTTTAAGAAACGTAAGGAAAATATTCCAAAAATTTACGAAAACCGTACTAAACAATTGATAAACTTTCGCGAAATGGTTGTCCTTAAAAAATTTTAATATAACAGCATGTATAGAACATATGCAACTTTCTCGATTTTTTCGTTTTTTTTTTTCAATAAGTATTTTCAATTTCAAAAGGTATTCTGAAACAATTCTACAAAAAGTTCCATATCATAATAGAATAGTCATTTTTTTCAGTCCCGCGATTTTTCTCAAAATTTTCTTTCATGACAACGTTTCCACTGTAATTACAAATAACCAAAAGAAAATTTGAGTCAAATCGGCTCAGCCGTTCTCAAATGACGTGTTACTATACTTTTTCAAATTTTTTACATATTCATTTAAAGAAGTATTTGTAGCCAGTTCCTCTGACCCCAAACAGATACCTAGGGTTGGAAGGAGAATCAAGATTACGTCGTATACTAACTGTGGAACAGATATCTTCATGATTTTGGCAAATATAAGTATTTTAGACAAATCGAAAAATCGGCGCAAAATTGGGCGTGGTAACTTTTTCTTGCATAAAAACCTTAACGTAAATGTTCGTCCTAACATTTAAAAAATATATATCCAAATGGTTCCAGCCGGTCTCAACTGATTACCAGTTACCAACGAACAACAATTGGTTTATATATAGATTAAAAAGTAGGCGTGTTCAGTTCCTCAGCCCCCCAATAAATACCGTGTAATAATTTTCAAACCTATATCTTCATTATTTTGGGAAATATAATGATTAATAATAAATAAATCGAAATAGTGGTCGTAAAAGTAGGCGTGGTCAATACTCGGGGTATGACGAACGTTTGAATCGGTTCAGCCGTACTCAACTGATTCCATTACCAACGAACAACAATTGATATATATATATATATATATATATATATATATATATATATATATATATATATATATATATATATATATATATATATATATATATATATATATATATATATATATATATATATATATATATATATATATATATATATATATATATACATATATATATATATATATGAGTTACATATAGAATAGATTGACGTAAACATTAGTTTACTTTGAGCCGCGTATCTATCGGTGTTCTTGGAGCCATTGCTAATCGATATAGTTTGGTCTTTTAACATCAAAACAAATCATCCACCTCCACAGTCCTTCACTTCATTTCATTTTTCGATATTTACTTTCATCAAAAACCAGGTACATAAAGTGTTTTAAGTGAAAACATCGAAGTATAAAAAAAATGAAAAAACATTTATTTATTTGTGACTATGACAATAAACCTACATACGTACAATAAGTACACTAATGTAGTTGAGTCGATCGGTGTTGGTCAGTTGTGCGATCGATCTGCTGTTCACTTGTTTGGCGGTTTATAACCACTCGCTCACATATTTGTTGTGTGTGTTCGTTTTTTTTTTATTTGTTCGAGGTAATCTAATAGGAAATTTGTTTGTGCCAAAGCGTGGAAAGGGGGAAATGTAAAGCAAACCAAATGTTACAAAATAAAATAAATAAAAACACAATAGGGGATAGTTTATAATATAAAATTAAGGCAAAAAGTATTTGGTAAACAATATTACCTTATTTGCAATATAGTGGGGGAGAGCCTTCGTTCGTATCGGGCGGTAGAACAAGAAAGAGTGATTACAATAAGCAACAAAAATATGAAGTTGGAATTTGTTGACATTGTTAGATCTCAACGATTTTAATAATTTACATTGTAATTAGACGTTAACCCATTGTAATTAGACGTTTACCCAGACTCAGGTTGTATGAATCCGGACTCGGTTCGCGAGTTGTCAATTTTGAGGTTATCAGCAGGGACCGGAGCCGCAGATGAAACCACAGATATCGATCCGGATGCGAGGGCCGCAGATGAATCCGTTTGAACGAATTCGGACCCCGGCTCAGAAGTTTTACAGCCGCAATCGGTTCTACGAGGGGTAGCGATACCATTATCAACATTCAACCAGATCGTCTATGGCTATCTCGCGCTCTGGAAATTTCCATTTATACCTCATGTGTGAATGTTTCAAATACTCCTCTTTCCACCTCAAACTAAACTGAACTTTCCTAAACCGATTAACTAAGCTTAATGGTTGCACTGCGATGAGAGGTTCATATGGAGCTAACAAAGGGGCCCCAATAAGGAGGTGTCCTGACTATTTCCTCAGAACCTCTGATTATTGCGACGTCGGACGAATTCTCTGAAACTTCTCTGAATTTCCCTCGAAGCTCCAACAACTCGACACACAAGTAGACCACACCCGCGTATGAAGTTCGACAGAAACTTCTGGAACTTACTGAATCCATCAGGGAAACCTGATCGAGTTTATGTGTGGGGGGGTTTGGTCAAAACTTTTCCAATCAGCCTCAGTGGCTGTCAAAAGTGAATTATCGCAACTAATTCTGTATAACCAGTCCTTCTGCATAAGAATTTTCGCTGTTACAATCACTTTGGGTCGATCCGCTCCTAACAACAGATTTACAGGTCGAGGTTCAAGAAGATTTACATCTGTCACGCGAAGGTCGGGGATTTCCGTCTTAAAATCTAAATTTACCACAAATGACGGAAGAATTCCTGAAATAGTACACTTGTTTCCAATAACAGAGATGTGTCGAATGGACTGCTAATTCTTACACGGCGAGCTTTATTAGCAGTAGACGAGAGCGAACAACTAGCTCCTGATACAACAGCATTAGTCGGGGATATGGGAAGCTTCAAACGATTTTGCAGTCGCTCTGAAGTAAAAGAGGACTCTGATTCAGTATCTATCAGCGCCCTAGCAGGATACCGAACACCTTGCTGAACGATATTCACCATTGCGGTACCCAAAATTACACAGGTACACAGTACAGCAAAAGTTTTAAAAAGACTGTGATTTCATGATGGCGTCTATAGAGACATCTAAAGAAGAAATAGATGCTGTCGATCAAAAATATAATGAATCTTTTCGATTTTACTTGCTATGCCAGGCTGCAATTAATAGGAAGTAAGATCAATTAAAAAGGACTCGTTCTACTTATATTAAATCAAGTGTTAGCGGTTCAATAGTCTCATTTTAGAAACCTCGGGTGCGATTCCAGAATAATCGCTCACAATCGCCTGTTTCACGTATCGAAAGAACACGTTCGCACACCTTTTACACGAACAAGAACTGATTTCCGTTCCACTAAAATCCATGAGAACGAAAAATTATACGAACATCAAAGCGTTTCAGTGTAATTTTGCGTTCCACTATATTTTTTATTTAGCACGCAAGCAAAAACATAAATGTCAAAATCAGTCACTTGTTGTTTCGACATCAATATAGCTATGATAGGAAATGGAAACAAAAAGGTGAGTAAAAATAAAAAATCGAATTATAATATGTCAATAACAAATACAATTTGTATTTCTTCAATTCCAGCAGGAAAAAAGGAACAACTCTTGATTATAGATAGGGCACTAGTTCGCCAGAGAAGTGCCAATACTTGGAAGCAGCAGGCTTCTCCACATCATCCATAAAATATATTAAAACAGAAATATTAATTTTTTTAATCACAAATAAATTGAACACAATCTCTGGAAAACTCGAAATATTTTCTTCTTGTTTGTTTATTCACAATTTGTTTCTTTACAACTGAACTGTCAGTTCAGGCAGAGCCAGCTTACGTATGCTTGTATTTTTTACAGCTTTTTGGCGTTTAAATCTGTCACTTTGGCGCTTCTTTTGTTTAATTTCTCGATTAATTTTTTCCAAGGTATATTTAGCAACACTGAGTCACGTTAGGCTATGCGAAAGAACGAACGATCGTTAGTGGAACGCATTCTGATACGAAATTGAGTGACGAACTTTCGTTCGCACAAATTTTCTTTCGATATCGTGGAACAGGCTGTAAGAGAAAAAAAAGAACTAAAGCACCATTTACTATAAATTTAACCAAAAATAAAATTCGACTTAGCACAATATACGAATATACGAAGAATTAACAAACAACAATAATCAAGAAACGTATATATATATATATATATATATATATAAAAACCACTAATTTTGCAGCCAATTCATCAGCCTCGATTTTGGATTTTTCCTGCGATATGAGCAACTCTTCCTTAAGTTGCAATATTTCAGCCTCCAGCAGAAATATCCTTCTTTCTTTTTCTTCACCAGCTTCTAGATTTGCAGCCAACCCGTCACGTTCGGTTGCAGCTGCAAGTCGTTCTCTTTTTGCACAAGACAACTCATCACTAAGTTGTCTTATTACCGCCTTCAACGCCTTGCCCTTGCGTTCTGCCTCCTGGTTAGCCGCTCGTAATTTGTCCTTAGTATCCTCGGCTACACACACAGCATTTTCGACTTCCTCCTTCAATTTGGAGACAAGTTTGAGGGCATCTTCTTTTTCATCTTTCTGTGAAATCAAGGCAAACTCCATTTCCTTAATATCACCTTCCATTTTTCTCATTGCGGCTACCGCTGCTTCGCGCCCCTCTCGCTCGACGTCCAATTTGGATGTTATGCAGGCCACTTGTTTCTTCAAGCCAAGTACTTTCTCTTTGGTCTCCACATTAAGAGCCTGCGTGACTTTAAGGATGATCTTAACATCTTCCAAATACAGCCTTGCTGTCCCATTCGGCTGACTTGCTCTGATAGCAGCTGCTATTTTGAACTTCTTTAGAAGCATCTCTAAAAACCGCCTATGAACGCCTGGATACAATATTACGTCTCTTGCCGCGTCCATAATTTTTTCTTTGGCGAAGTCAAATACGCCTTCTATGGCTTCTTCCGCCTTTAAGGTACTCATTATTTCCATAATTGTACCCATAATTTCGAGAAGAGTGGCAGCCTCTTCCTTTATTTTCATCATTGGCGGCCATTTTACCGATTCGTCCTCCTGGGGATATGCCTCACCCCTTCTGTCTGAAGACTTCAAATATGAAGCAACCTCGGTGTGCACCGTCACCACAGTCTTCCGTGCTGAAGTCTGCTTCTGATTCAGCATCCTTTTATTTGGCTTATAAATTTCTTCTGTATGGGAACAATTCCAGATGTATTTCAGCACGGTAATTTTCCACTCTTGAAGACCAATTTTAGCCTGATAGAATTTCCTCGATGTTAAGGCAAATTCTTCAACATTTATCCTCTACCGATCCGGCTCGATGGACCAATGTAAACCGGGATCAATTAAAAGACACAAAGTCTTTTCCGTTTGAGCGTTTGTAAGACACTGAATTTATTTATTAAAAACACATCTTGAGAACTAGTTGTGATAATATGACTTAACCTAAATTATAATTAAGTGCAAATGAGAGAGAGAGAGAGAGAGAGAGAGAGATACCAACCGTACACATGCATATGCACCATGCCACCATAAACCTTAGGGGGAGGTCATACACACGCATAGCTATCTGACATGTGGCAAGCAAACATGCTGCACTTGTACAGAAATTCCAAAAACTCTACAACCACTTGATAATGTGGGGAATTTGCGGACAGCGGCAATGACAACAAGAACTCCTCAAAGTTATAATTATGTGATGTAGTGATGGTGAGAGATGCGGCTGATTCGCGCGAATGGTGTATTATAAAAAGAAATAAAAATCAAGAAATGTAATTTTCGGACAGCGGCAACGACAACAAGAACTGCCCAAAGGTATTATTATGTGATGTAGTGAGAGATACGGGTGATTCGAGAAACATATATTAGTTGAAAGTATTCGTTTTTCGCTCTTTTCGTAATTGTTTGGACAATTATTTTATAGTTGCTTAAAATATTTGTAACTCTCCGTAGGGTTTAAGTATTTTTTTAGGAATTCACCATACTTTCGGCATAGACTTATATTAAAATAACTAAATTTAGCATTGAATATTTGGTGAAGATAACACAATTTAATAAATCTTTGCCAAATATCGAGCTCTGGTTGTAAGATTTCTTGGAGTTGACCTCAAATTTTGTAAATTGGAGCGATTTGAAACAAAACGTTATTAATTTCGTTTTTATTTGAAGTAGTTTTATCACCCAGAGGAATTTTTTCTTAAATTTTAGTATTGAGTATTTTATGGTTCAGATTCCGGAAAGTTCTACTACCTGCCCAAGTTCCATTGACCTTTGTCTCTTTTGTAAGATTTTCTAAAGATGTCGATTCCACCTTTCATCCGTTTAGCTAGAGCTGCTGACACAGTTCTTAAAAGTTTTGAATATTTCGAACAAATTGACGAATCCAATTTCACTGTGTTCAATCTGGAGATTCGTAATTCAGAAATACAGTGCAGCTTGCATTGTACATCTTCAGTGTTTATCCACCATCAACAGGCATCTTGATCGCCTAAAATCTCGTTCAAATGAAAGCCGCTCTTCTACTAAAGGTCCTCAGTGATCATCACTTACGGAAAATTTTATTATTTCAAATAATTATAATATGACACCGCCTTCAGGCTTGCTTTCAATTGAGCCTATCTCATCTGTTCCTGTGCAGTCTGACAATCCACCTTAGCAGATTTCGATAGTTGCTCCAATCCACATTTCGATAATCAGTGTTTCATGTTTCCACCTATTGATATCGAAGCCATTTCGGTGATTTCGTTTCTTGGCCCACCTTTTGTGATCTGTTCACCACCCAACTCATGCTCGTCTTTCAGACATTGAGCGTCTCTGCTATATTTTGCAGAAGACTACTGGTGAGGCCAGAACCATAGTTTCGAGATTTCCACTCATTAATAGCAGTTTCCCATTGGCATGGAAAGCTTGGATGGAGGCTTTCGACAATAAACGCATCATAGTAAATAGTAATATAAAGTAATAAAAACTTGTTTGATGATTCTTCCATAGATATAGAAACTAGTCAGGGTTTGCAAAATATTCAAAGTGAAATAAATAGTTGTCTTGCTGCAATTGCCGTCTATGAGGTCGCCACGGTTTAGTGGGATCCAATTCTTGTGCATATTTGCACGCATGTTTCTACATCCAGTTCCACCATTAAAAAGTCGTTGGCACATGAGCCAAAATGTGTTGCTTCTTCTCCTCGGCCATTCACTTCTTGCCCCATTTGTTCTAACCAGAGTCTTGCTCTTCGACTCTGCCCCAAGTTTATAAAAACTTTGTTTGACGACAAATTCTTGATTGTGAAAAAGAATGAGCGTTGTATCAATTGTCTCTCACTTGGCCATGCAGTTAAAAATGTCACAGTACAAATAGGTGCAGATCTTGCAAACAAAGGCCTCACAGCCACCTCCGCCGGTCACAAATTAGTAATGTTGTAGATACAATTTAAAGAATAGTTAATCTTGCTTGTCTTCGCAAAGACGCATTTTGCGGTCTATAAAACCAACTCCGGCTTTTACTACAGTCAAAAGCCGAGATTTGATATCCAAACAGACTATCTCCGGCCTTTACCAAAGTCAAAAGTCGATGTTCAAATTCCCCCCTGCTTTTACGAAGCTCAAAAATTTAGATCTTAAGCCTCCCTCTTCCAAAAATAATTCAAACACCATTGAGGAAAATCTGCTCTTGGGAACTGCACTAGTCAATATTGTTAATAATGGGAAAAGTAATACTGCTCGTGCTTTAATAGACCCTTATTCTGGGGCATCGATTATTAGTAAAAAGCTTAGAAATGCTCTTGGAACTAAGTCTAAACTTGCTGCTGCAATAGAAGTTTGTTCTCTTCAGTTGTCATCTCCGAGAAATATGTTTGGAATTGTCGAAAGTAGAGTTTTTGTGAAGCATAATGTCACCGGGAAATTATTTGCTAATCCACCCATGAGAAATTTGAAGGCTCGAATTCCTGATCTTGATATAGGGGATACTTGCGATGACAGCCCAATAGACTTGCTTGGCACTGACCTAAATCCTAAGATACTCGGAGCTGAGCCTCCCAAAATTGTTTTAAGCTTGTTGCTAACCCAAAAATCTATTTTTGGGTACATTCTCACAGGTTTCCCTCAGCAGTAACATAATCTTGCACCCAACATTGAAATCGACCAATCGGAACCTTTAAAATCTAAATTTTATGAAATAATCAGCGTGCTACTGCTAGGGATCAGGTAATAAAATATTATATTTTGAAGAATGTAGCAGTTTTATGTCGTTATGAATAAGGTGGAATGCATATTTGTGCATATATTGCTTTGAAAGTTGCCCCTATCATTGCTAAATAGCTACGCAAACGTTGTAATTGGATTACATTGTTTGGAATGGCTATTATTAGCCACCTATGCCGATTGCCGCAAATTCGTTAATATCTACACTGATATTAACTCGGTTAAGGATGATATTAGCATGTCGTCGCCAATGTTATTGTTTACTGTTGGTCAGATTCTACTATAGTTCTTTCTGGATACAAAAAAAAACTTCGATTTGGACAACGTTTGTGGTGATCGCGTCATCATACCAATTATTTTTTAATGGAAAAAATTACATAGCGCACTGTGCAGCAATAAAAAATAGTGCACGCATATAAATGGTACTGCTGGAAAAGCCGTTCCAAGAGCTTTTTAAAGCGCTATTATTTCGCCAAATCGATCGTGGAAAATTAGAGAAACATTGATTTTTCTTATTTTTCAAAAGTTATCAACGAGTCACACTGTGCGAAAACTAAAAACAGTACAAGCTCATGGAATAGCACGATGAGGTGTACTTTCAAGATATAAACACTCCTAAAAGATTAATCGGGCAGATTTTTTTTAAAAATATTTTTCCTAAAATCAAGTGTTTTCTAGAGCGAAACATAAAATGGCCCACTGTGCAGCAATAAAAAATAGTGCACGCATATGAATGGCACTGCAGGAAAGGTCGTTCTAAGAGCTTTCTAAAACGCTATTACTTGGCTAAATCGATCGTGGAAAATTAGAGAAAATTTTATTTTTCTTATTTTTCAAAAGTTATCAACGAGTCCCACTGTGCGAAAACTAAAAATAGTGCAAGCTCATGGAATAGCACGTTGGAAAGCCCATGAGGTGTACTTTCAAGATATAAACACTCCCGAAAGATAAATCGGGCAGAATTTTTTTTTTTAAATATTTTCCTAAAATCAAGTGTTTTCTAGAGGGAAACACAAAACGGCCCACTGTGCAGCAATAAAAAAATAGTGCACGCATATGAATGGCACTGCAGGAAAGGTCGTTCCAAGAGCTTTCTAAAACGGGTGGCGGGTGGGTCTCTTCGCTTTTAAGTATTACCACTTGACCTATTTCTATACTTTTATCTCGCCTTTTCCACTTCATACGGGCCTGTAGCGTAGTTAAATATTCCTCCATCCATTTTCTCCAAAAATGGTATTTTATCCTTTGCAGCAGTTTCCACCTATTTTCGCAAACTAGGCTTCCTTCTTCTATCCTTGCTGGTGCCTCTAATAAAGGGCGCCCAATAGGAAATGGCCTGGTGTCAACGTGTCTATATAATCCGCACCACTGCCAAGCTCATGTAATGGCCTCGAATTCAAAACAGACTCAATCTGGGCTAGTACCGTGCTGAGCTCCTCATATGTCAGCTTCGTATCTCCCATTATACGTTTCAGATGATACTTCATGGATTTTACAGCGGCTTCCCATATTCCTCCAATGTGAGGAGCTGCCGGCGGGATAAAATGCCACTTTATTTTTTGATTCTTCAAAATTGACGCCAACTTTACGTTATGTTTAATCGCCTCTACGTAGTCTTTCTCCAGGCTTAAAAACCTTGCCATAGATGTTTTATAAGATTTTCCTAACTCCTTGTCTTCCGCAAAAGGCAAGCGAACGACGAATCTGCCTGAATTATCTATGCGTGTTGTGTCTTCATAAATCTTAAGGCAGTATTCGTCTTCTAGGCTGGTTTCTTCGTCTTCTATTTCTTCAATCTCCCAAAATCGTTCAATTGTTGTTGTTGCTGCAGAATTCGTTGTTGTTGCTGCAGGTTTCATTACAACTGTTCCCGACAAAATCCAATCCCACTTTGTATTTTGGCCCACAATTTGATCATAATGACGAACTCCTTTTTCTAATATCTGTGAGTAGAGGTCGGCT